ATTCGCTGATTCCCTAATCCAGAAAGGACTGAGATTCTCCCGAATAAAAACGGTCCTGTTGACGGCGGTAAACCTAAAGTGTCTTTGAATGGAACGAAAAACAGTGCCTTTTGATCTGGTGCAAGAATGTCTAGTCCCTGGTCAACAGTTTGGCTGTCATCATTCCCTTGTCAACCAACAAAAAGCACGACCCACACTTTTGTGACCCGGAACAGATTACTTAACTGACAAGTTGCTTGTAAACCTTTCTCCGCACTCGGTGAGACGAGAATAGGGTGGTTTAAACCTGTAGTTTTTATGTGATGGTCGTAAATTATCTTCCGCGTCAATGGGTGTTTAAAACAAACACATTTATTTACTTATAGAAAAACCTTCGATCGTTATTCAACCCGTGTTGATTCTTGAGAATGGAACCAGGTCAGTGATGGACTGGGTTGCTTGGCTGTCCGTCAGTGCACCTCTCGTCCAGTGATGATTAATTCTGGTGGAAAAATGAAGCATTTAATTCCCGCTTTTCATCTACGCAGCCAGAGAAGAGAATTTTCACAAAGCTTCAGTCCTCAACCGCTCATCCAGCCGCAAGGTGCCTTTAGGCCAAATCACTAGTTAGTTTTCTTTGGATGGAGTGATAAGGATCCCATCTTTGGTATTGCAAGCGATATATGTATAATGCTGATTAAAAAACTAGTCTAAGTAAAGTGTTCCTAAGTAGTTCTTCATTTAGATTACTGTTTTCTTGCTTGAACTTTGAACAGCCTCGGCTAAAATTGCCCAACAAGATGATTAATGTCCGTACAGGTGGGTAGCAATCAGTCTGGAAGTGGCTGACGTGTGTACCACTACCTCACCCGAAGCTGGTTTTTTGTGGTAGCATCCCCTCAGTAGGTTGTATTTGAAACGGTGGCCGCTAAATTACGGTCGGTTGTGTTTTACGGAATCACACTTCCAAAACAAAGACACTTTTAGCGTAAACAGAAATTGCTAGCAGTCGCACGGTACCAGCTACTCATATTTTTTTCTCCTGAATATTTCATGTTGAAATGGGCGAGTTCTGCGCTTTTCCACATTTAGTTTTTTTGAGCCAGATGTTCTCGTTGACGGTTTCCTGCACTCGGTTCATAGCGTTTGTTTCTGAACCAATCAGAGACATATATTTTGCTCTCCTTTCTGTACTCATTCTTCGTTGGGCAGAAGAATTCCTGTCTGGAGGGTAAAACACACTACGTACATTGCTCCACCCAAAAAAGTGCACACTTTCGGGAGTAAAGTAAACCTCACGCATTAAGTCACACCTGCTAGGCCATAATTTTGTGAGAGTTTTCTGTGATTAAGATGCCAACTTATGAACCGTATGGTCTGTTTTTCGAACCCAAACTCAGCATCTCGACTGCTCCCGTCTAGGCTTGGGCATCTTGACAGTAGCTCAGCTCTCGTGCCTCCTTCCGTTGCTAGCTAGGCACTAAATGGGTGTCAGAGCTGGGGTGACAGAGTTTTTTAGCCCATTTTCTGGAAAAAGAGTTCGGTACTGTTAGTTTGGGAATAATTTAGAGGAGAACAATCGAGCGTCCACAACCTCACTCACAACAAATGCGGCACTATGTACTGTTTCTTCGTCGGTTGTAATCTCCGATACAAGGCGATACTCGTCTCCTGCTTTGCAAAATACTTCAGCTCCCCGGGTTTCTCTACACAACAAGCTTCATCAGTGGACGCAGGCTTGGAAACCGAAATGCTAGAAATCCAGAACTTTCCAGCGTAAAGGTTGTATGTTTAGTCGCTCTTCATACTTTTAGTATGGTTTGTCAAGAGTTGATTTCGTAAGCTGCAAGAAAATGAATACCATGAATAAACTCGGGGGCACTGGGCTGAATGACAAATGGATGATGACATTGAAGTCAGGAACCTGACTCGGGTCTTTTCACTCGTTGCCAGCTAAGGGCCATACAGCGTACTGTTTCGGGTAATCAAGTTTAGGAAGTATTTTAGTTAAATGGTTGAATTCTTGCCTGATGATGTTCCAGCTGAACAGATTATTGCTACACATGTGGTCAATCTCACGAGTGTTTTGAGCACAGTGGGCGTATGTGCTCGAAATTCAAGCAGCAATCTTTATTTGCTGGCTCACATTAAGTTATTTTATCAGGCATTTTTGAGGCACTGTCAGAAACTTCTCGAAGGATTAACCACATGATTTTCTCAAAAACCCGTAAGACCGCCACAAAAACTGTTATGAACGCTTAGTATTCCGCTTCTTTGGTGCTCGTTGAGAACAATTCAATCGTTTTCATCAGAAAACATTTTTCAAGAAGATGTAAGCCTTGTGTGACAAAAGGCTGCAAATTGGGGAGTAGGGAGAAAGGACACGGATGAACAATCTCAGCTGAAAATCAACAACCGGTTATACGGAAAGATGAAGTTTGCGGACGGTTTTTGACCTTCAAGTAATTTTAGTAATCCCTGAGTTTTGGCCTTGAGTAGATCGAATGGAGTTCGGTACTGTTAGTTTGGGAATAATTTAGAGGAGAACAATCGAGCGTCCACAACCTCACTCACAACAAATGCGGCACTATGTACTGTTTCTTCGTCGGTTGTAATCTCCGATACAAGGCGATACTCGTCTCCTGCTTTGCAAAATACTTCAGCTCCCCGGGTTTCTCTACACAACAAGCTTCATCAGTGGACGCAGGCTTGGAAACCGAAATGCTAGAAATCCAGAACTTTCCAGCGTAAAGGTTGTATGTTTAGTCGCTCTTCATACTTTTAGTATGGTTTGTCAAGAGTTGATTTCGTAAGCTGCAAGAAAATGAATACCATGAATAAACTCGGGGGCACTGGGCTGAATGACAAATGGATGATGACATTGAAGTCAGGAACCTGACTCGGGTCTTTTCACTCGTTGCCAGCTAAGGGCCATACAGCGTACTGTTTCGGGTAATCAAGTTTAGGAAGTATTTTAGTTAAATGGTTGAATTCTTGCCTGATGATGTTCCAGCTGAACAGATTATTGCTACACATGTGGTCAATCTCACGAGTGTTTTGAGCACAGTGGGCGTATGTGCTCGAAATTCAAGCAGCAATCTTTATTTGCTGGCTCACATTAAGTTATTTTATCAGGCATTTTTGAGGCACTTCTCGAAGGATTAACCACATGATTTTCTCAAAAACCCGTAAGACCGCCACAAAAACTGTTATGAACGCTTAGTATTCCGCTTCTTTGGTGCTCGTTGAGAACAATTCAATCGTTTTCATCAGAAAACATTTTTCAAGAAGATGTAAGCCTTGTGTGACAAAAGGCTGCAAATTGGGGAGTAGGGAGAAAGGACACGGATGAACAATCTCAGCTGAAAATCAACAACCGGTTATACGGAAAGATGAAGTTTGCGGACGGTTTTTGACCTTCAAGTAATTTTAGTAATCCCTGAGTTTTGGCCTTGAGTAGATCGAATGAACTGTATCTGGTTTGGTTTTCACGAGAGGCTCAACTGAATCTCACGTTTATGATATTCTACAACTGAATGTGCTGCACACGGGCACCTCATGATTCAGTTGGCATGATATTCGAGATATCGCGGTATATTTTCGTAAAGGAAACTACTCACAAGTTTGCTAAAATCTCTTCGACAGCCCACGACCGGTTTCGCCCTTCTTGGGGCTCGTCAGGTAGGCGCAGTTCACGATACCTCGAATATCGTGCCAACTGGAACATGAGGCGGTCTGTGTGCAACATATTCAGTTGCAGAATATCATAAACGATAGATTCAGTTGGATCTCCTGTGAAAACCAAATTTATTTGAAAGTGAGTGTAGTTCTCGAAAACAGTCCAATTTGGATTCAAGTAGAACATAAGGCTGACGGAGATTCGGGGACTGCCCCTACCTGATGAGCCCCAAGAAAGGCGAAACCGGTCGTGGGCTATCGAAGTGTTTTTAGCAACCTTGTGAATGTGTCTGATTTGGTTCTTTGTCCTGAAGAAATCGCTTTGACTTTGGGTTTGAGCCTTCCAGATTTTATATGGTGTTCGTAGATGCGACACACTGTAATAACCTGAGGAGATTGCCTCCTCGCCATATCTACAACTGCTCAAATAGACAGAGGTTGTCAAAGTGACTGATTTCGCGGAAAGTTGAACTAGATTACTTGGTGTTTGTCTTGTAAGTGAAGGCAGTCGGTGGTAAAAGCTGGTGAGTAGTTTATAGCTGTTTCATCCTTACTAGAATGATACTTAGTGTGCATCTAACAAAACTCCAGTGAGGAGTTTCGAACCCTCGACCTCGGGGCTAGTTGCCATGGGTGACTGATCAGTAGTGCGTTTAGCTAACACCTGAACAATATACACAGCTACTTGTCATTTCAGTCACAGAATCTGTACCACGCGATGTTGTGTGTTACCTGGTTCCTCTCAGATGAAAGGATCACTCCTATCGTAACTTGTTCTTCCTTCTGAATCATGCATAGATTGCTGATAGCGGAAGGAGAGTTGGTAGTCTTAAGCTGGCATTTCCCGCTCTGAGTGAAGTGAAGCCACGCTGTGCCGAAAAGCCGAGAACTAACTGTTTTACCCTTTCTGGGAACGATCAACCACAGGCATCTCACGAAACTGCAAGCAGTTTAGAGACCGGGCTCGTAGTTTGACAGTCCTTGGGGTTGCTGATCATTCCCAACGAGGATGGAACTGCTTTCCGGCTTTTAAGTATAAGCTGGCTTCACATAGAACGTAAACTCTCACTTTAATTTGTTGTGGCTTTAGCGAATATACACTCATCTGCAAACTAATTTGGTTCTTTCGAGAGACCCACCTGGAACCCAGCTGAATCTCTCGTTTATAATGTTCTCAGGCAACTGAATGTGCTGCACTAGGCCGCCTCATGTTTCAGCCGCTACGATATTTGAAATATCGCGATACACGTATATTTGTAATGTACTACTCATAAGGTTGCTGAAAATCCATCGACAGCCCATGACCGGTTTCGCCCTTCCTGAGAACATCATAAACGAGAGATTCAGCGAAGTTCCGGGTGAGTCTCTCGAAAGAACCAAGTTAGTTTGCAAATGGGTGTATATTCGCGAATTTTGTGCAATATGGTTTCAAGTAGAGCATGAGGTGGACGGAAACTCGGGGACTGAGCCTACATTATGAGCCCCAAGCGGAAGGGCGAAACCGGTCGTGGGCTGTCGATGGATTTTCAGCAACCTTATGAGTAGTACATTACAGATTGTTGTTGCTTTGTTTGGCAGCACGTTGTATTGCGAGTGATCAAAAGAAAGTGGGCGATATCTGAAGCTCCCATTACCGGAAAACTTCAAGAAAGGGGCCAACTGCTTGTCTGTTGTTTGCCCTGTCGTACACAGACCAGTCGAACACTGAGCGCTGTCACAGTCCAAATGTGACAGCAACTCTGGTGCTAAAAACAGAACTTTCCTTCAGAATAGCCCGAGACTTCTAGGTCATTGGACATCACGAGGGTTGACAAATCCGTGCGTCGGCAATCACTCATATCAAAACGATGAGATGACGCAACCGTTAATTATCGCACTGTGAGTCCAACATATCTAACTGTGAAAAACTTTGTACTGCTAAGGTATATATATATATATATATATATCTGGCAGTTATTTCAAGGCGTTTCCTCCAGGGAAAGTCTTCCTGTAGGGAGCAATTGATTGGGGATAATTTTACTGAGACGGCGCCCGCGAAAGCCGAGGGTATCGATGTTGCACTTCTAAGCGATGGACGCAAAATCTTGAGGAGTTTAGTTAAGTCTGCTTGCCTGAGGCAACAACAAATGAATTCGTCCCCCCTGCTGAGTAGGCAGAATTTGTTACAACCAAAATGTATCCCAAAACTTTGGAAATGTTCGAAATCTCTCGCAGGAGTCTAACAGTATGCATTTTCTACCTCACAAAAATGATCCATGGTCACCCATGTCAAGCTTTTCCATTATAAACGGCCGTACACGATGACACAGTGATATGAGTATAGTTTGATTGAAGAAATTCTTGGATTGGATACCCGTTGCGCTGAGTTTTGTATAGTCCATCTGACCATTGTGACGTGACGAAAAAGTGCATCAGAAGTATGCAATAGCGGATCCACCTTCCATTGATTTCGACCTATTGATAACAGTTTGTAACATTCGTAAGTGTGCATCAGTGTTCACCGGTCGTTCTTTTGTTTTCTTCACCTTTCGATCTGGACGTTAACTCCCACAAATCGTGATTAGATCTCTGCCGTTGCGTAAACAAACGGTTTTTCTCATCAGTTGCAGTCAAACGGTCGGTAATCTGTGAATCTCTTCTTCCCTAAGCAGTGTCGCTGGTTTGATCTCTACAGATCCAAGCATAAACAGGCAATTGACAAACCAGTACTCTGCCTTTTAGATCGAATATGGCTAGAATAACAGTCAAAATGCTGAAACGTGTATCGAGATGTTTATTCCCGTCAGCTTTTTCCCGTCCTTGTACGCATTCACGTTCAGAGATTCTCCACTAATTCCAAACTAGAAGCTAGTAAACTGTCTGGACGTGGCCACTTTAAACTGAAATTCATAAGCAACAGAATGGTGGAATTTTCCATCCAGTTTTCTTTATTCTGAATGGGAAGGCAGCTTATGTTGAAAAGTCAGGAAGCAATGCAAAACGGTCTCTTCTGAGTAGGAATCATCAGTAGTATACACCTCACGAGTCCCTCCTTCCCCCCATCGTCGGTGAAAGCAACGGTGAGGAAGAACACTTGTGATTGAGTGTCGAAAAGCTATGTCAGTTTATTTCAGCAAGAGCTCATAGTATTAAGGGAGAAGAAAATGAGGGCGGGAGAGGAACCAAGAATTGGCTTTCAACAGTTTGGATAGAGACTGACAGCATGAAATCAGCTAGCTCTCATGTCGTTCATAGTCTCCGTACAAACACAGGGGGATCACTTGGACCCTATCATGGTGTTGAACAACACCAGCGGCACACAAACTTCTCGTGGCATCTTTAGTTCCTTCGACCCCATAAAATTCTCTCCGCCTCTAGATGTTTGCCCCATCGAGTTGGTGCAGTGCTGTTCTCGACATATGGCAATTTAACACGTGTAACACGTGGCCCAGTCAGTTTAGCTTGCAGTGCTGGATGCACTCTGAAGTGGGTATACTTTGCCCCACCAAAACTTGTCTTACGGTCACCTGATTTCAAATTCGGCGGTTTCAGTCAACTCCATGTATAGTTCCAAGACAGCTCAGATAGCGAACAAACCATCGACCATTGTGGTTGAAGACCTGAAGAGGTCTCCGATGTTGCGCCCGAACTGGCCAAACCTCGCACAGCAACGCAGACAGCATAGTAGTAGACAGACAGTAGTAGCTATAAGCGTTTTCAAAGACCCAGAGATGTACCTTTTTGGAGCCACCGGTGGCACAAACTGGCATGAGCAACTCGGGCCTCCAGAATTCCTGCGTTCACTTCCACCCTCTGGCTAAATCTCCACTTTTCGGTAACGATTTTAAGGGACGATTTGGTTGTTTTCGAAGTTTGCTCAAGTACAACAAAAAGCCATCGATCGCTCAGGAGCACACGGAACAGTCCATCAGCACCGTGAGACACTTTTTCGCATCAAACACATCCACGGTACAACAGGTGTTCACGGCCTTCTCTCTAAGCTCATCCATCAGAGTTGTGATACACACATTTGAAGATGCGAGGCAAAGCCAGCCTTTGGAACTGAAAGATTCTCATCGTCACCACAGGTTCTATGGAACGATGGCCTATCGGCCTGCATCGCTAGCCATCATTGCTCTATGTGTAGCCATCTATTTGCCCACTGCTTTACTCATGAAGTAAAGCGTTCTCTAAGTTAATGCGCGTCTGACCGTTTTGTTGCTATCAAATCCGGATAAACCTAATATTTGTTTTAAAATCGCCTATCTCTGTGTTGTGAGAACACTCTCATGATGCGGTCTACTTTGTGTCCGAGAAACGTTCTGAAACAGCTGTGCAACTTACAGGTAGGGAACATGTGTAGTCGGATATTCCTTTGAAAGTAAAAGCTTGCTTAGCAAGCTGAGGAACAAGTCGGCCAAAGGAGCAGTCGGCAATGTGGTGTGGGATGTGAAAGGACCCCACACTATTATTATTCAGTCAAGTTTGCAGCAAACTTCTCCCCAGATGAAAGTTCTACAATTCGGTTGTCATACGCCTCAAAAACGGCGGTGCGCGCACACCAGAGCTAATATTTTCAATGAACAGCTTTCTTGAGTAACGTGCTGGACATAATCTTCGTAACGCTGTTGCCTTTCAAAAGGCTTATTACGTGCAGCTAATGTCGTCGCATTTAGTGTGTGCTTCCCCACAAGCCGCATTCGTCACGTTCATACAAAGCAAAACTGTTGCAGCTTGGGTGCCATTACTCGTGGCTCGTTGAAAGCACCCTCGGATTCATTGATTGGCGGGTCAGACATCGGAGCAGTACTGAGCAAACCTACGCTAGCAAGCCGGCTGCTACGTAAAGCATGAAAATATAGGTTTTTCACCTGATTCAGTCATGAAACTGATGAGCTTTTGTGCAATATACGATGTATATATATATATATATACGAT